GAGCCAATATAAAGTCTCAGGACAGACAAAATCGTACGAAAAAATTACTAACAAATATACGGGATTCGCGTTCACTGCAGAAATACGTCGTACGTCCTCGAGAACGAATGCGCAAAACGTTGAAAAACAACCGTGATTATATTATGTTAGAACGGCGCGAAATCGTTCGGAACAGGGATGATCGGATTCTATAAAAACGTTTCGGATTGAAATCTGCGAGTCAAAACATACGATCTCAAAACGATATTGAAAAGCAAAACATATATCATTTTATCCTTGCATCAAGCGTATGTGTACAGGAAGAAAATAATACACGAGCCGAAGGACGGAACGAAATAATTTGCAAATAGGAGCACAATATGTTGCGATTACAACAATACAGCGATTTTTTTCTAGTCCCGTCAGTCTATCGTTACACGCGTCTCGCCATTAGGAAGTCAACACCAAGATTTCGAACCAATTTTTTGCCCGCCATTTTCCCCGCAACCGTAGTTTAGTGTTCGTGCAACCATTGAGTACTCTTTAGATGACTGAAATCCTTCTTCGCGCTGCACAGTTTGGGACGCAATTGCGACCCTTGTCCTGGTAGGAATTCTATTTTTTTAATTTTTTTTTTCACAGTTCTTTCTCTCCTCACAATAATGTAATACATAGTATCTCCTCCGCGTATCGCGTGCACGTCCGGCGCACATATGCTGTGTACAAAAACCGTTTTCGTGCCCGCAATCGTTTTACCCCGAGGTTTGATTTTTTTTCCAGTTCTTTTTTTTTCCCATTCTTTTGCCGCAGCCAACCAACTGCACACAACTGCACACGACATTCATGTGTATTATTATAATATGCGTGCAAACAGACGCGCGCGCGCACGAAATCCGGTTTCGGTCGCGTCTCTTTGCTGGGGCGACGACGACCAAGACAACCGTGACACGCCGCCGCCGCGGCGGTGGTGGTGGTCGTCGTCGTCACATGCACGCCAGCGCGGGAGAGACGGAAAAACGCATTTTACGTACTGTCCACGACGACGTCACGCATAAGGATATTTTTCATACGATGTGCTGTATAATATTGAAATATATATGTTTTTGTTTTTTAGAAGAAGTTTTTTTCCCGTACGCAACACGTAATCCAACATAACTTGGATCTACCGCGTGATGTATGATGCGTATACGAAAGCCTAAAGCCGTTCAATGTATTACGATGATGCATTTTGTGCAGTATAAAAAAAAGAAGCTTAAATTAGGAAATTCGCGTAAAATAAAATTTTATTCATTGGAATCATCAAAAAAGCAATTACTAACTTGAACGATATTGGTTTGTTGACTAAAACGGTGGTAAAATCACGTTATCTCTTTGATGTATTTAAATACGTTTTCCGAAAATGTTCAGAAGGTTTAGCTGCAAAAAGCACATCTCAAACTATAATGCGTATAAATCGAATAATATGTACGAATCGATAGGGGCATGCGTGCGCACGTTGTGTTTATTGACGAGATCGCTTTCATTTCGTATAATATACATATATAGTTTTGATAAAAGAAACATTATCATGCCATGATATACAGTATAAATAAATACATTTCGTAATCCGGTTAATATTTATTCCATTTTGAATAATTATGTACAATTGCTGAATTAATAAGTGTAGTTCTTGATCATTTAATCGAGAAAAATAAATGCGTACAGTAATACACAAAAACTTTAAATATGCCTGAGCGTACCGGAATAAAACCTATGAGGAAATAGTATGAATACATTTATACATAAATTATGTTATAAATGCGCGCAGTGCTGCAAATAATATTTTCCCTATAACTAGATATCCAAGTGGCCTTGTCATCTCGAAGAATTAGCGAAATCCTAGCAAACCATTAAGCCGTACAAATATATACATCCACATTCTATCGGTTTTCATATCTGCAACAGGTATATGCTTTTCCATTAGAATCCACGCGGCATGTCTCACGGCACAGCAATTCTCGTGCTGTCGACATATACTAATCCAAAAAGCCGAATATACTATTCAGCTTGTATGTATTATCTGTATGTATATAAAACATAACGATTTTACCAGACGCGTAAGACTAGGCCTAAGGCCTATTGTCATCGTTAAGAAATTTCAGGGTAAGGTTTATTTTTTTAAATTTTAAATAACTACCCGTGTAGCATACGGTTCCCATAGATTTGATAGTACGTATAATTTAGGTTTACAATAACGCACCTCGTCGTCCATCTGAGAACACTGCGCACTGGTATGTAGCCGAAAACCACAAACACTGTCGGATTCGTGTACACACAGGGTATACCGACGGATTTCGTGCACGCATATAGGTGTGTACACGTATACTCGTATACCTAGTGCAAGAGTAAACACGAAATGTATAACAAGTCCGTCTGGAGAATTTAAAATACAAAATATGTGAAAAAGTGGAAACCGCATTTTTTTCGCATTTACATGCGGCTGAGAAATGTTGTACATATATAATAGACTCTAGTTAAGTTGTATGTGAGTTCATCATAGGCGTGTCTGAAAAAACAATTGACAAACGTCGGTCGTTTGTTTCTCTCTCTCAAATTCATGCAATTTATTACTCGATTAAATTTTAAATTTTTATCCCGTGCGTGGTATTTCGACAACTATAGAATTTCATGAGTTTTGCATATTATTTTCGTGAACCAATGTATAAGATAGTATATTTCTCTTCCAATGCCTTGTAATTACTCATTTCATGAGCAGTTCTTTATTTTTTTACTTTTCCGAGTGGCGTGAGAAATTCATTCAAAATTATAGTAAAATAATCGCGTTACGTACGTTGAAACTGTGACCAATATATATGTTATATCCATGTACATAAATGCGTATTTACTGAGAATAATGTCAACGTACAACCCGGGTGCCACATTCGTCCGATTCGTGTTAAAAAGTTTAAGTAAAACATCGCACTATTCTATATAAAGTTTAAAATATATTTCAGAAAGCATAAGCATGCATTTATAATTTTGTCGATGTGAGTGATCGATTGCTACGTGTTACGAAATCCTGATAAAATCGATAAGGTGCCTCTTTTTAGATAAAGAATAAAATTATTCTTATAGATCAAAGGTGGCAAAAACACACGTTGATCACGACTCCCTTTCATTTTTATTTCGTTTTTTTTCAAAAAACAAATAAATTATTTATTTATTTATTTTTTGTAAATTTTATATTTTTGTTCGACCCATGAATATAAAAATTAGATTAATAACAATTAATATAAACAATATATAGTAAAAGTAATAAAAAAATTATGAAAAATGCAATTATACATTGAAATCGAGGACCTATGTAGGTAAAGTGTATGTGATCTAATATATATTTTGTGTTAAATAACAGTCTTTATTTATAAATTGATAAAACGTATAAAACTACATGTTATGTAAAATTGTAAAATTGAAGTTATTATTACCTAATAATATTTTAAATAAAAGAAATAAAGGAAGTGTAACAAGCATATATAGAAAATACATTATTGATCAGTAGCAATCTTTTTTTTTTTTAGAAAAACTCATAAGTCGATCACAAGCTTATAAAAGTTGGCTACCCCTGGTATAGATTCACAAAACTCGTCGTGCTATATAGGTACAAGAAACGATATATTAATACATGTATGTGCATGTGCGAGAGTGTATGTACATGTACGTTGTTTAGCCGATATACGAGTATATATTGGTGACGTGGGTAGAATTTATTACCGAACGTGTTTCGACGAGTTTCCATGAATATATCTCAGAACAAAATAAAACCTTAGGCAGGATTTGAATTTTTATTTTTTTTTTGTCTCTTCAACTCCAGAATTTTTTCGTGTAGATCTATACGTACTTGATATGAAACAACAACGACTAGACATGTACGCTCGTATGTGTGTGTAAGTATATTTTTTATAGCATTACAATATATTATAATGTGTATGTGTACGTGTATAATATGTATAATTGATATCAGGTAGCAGAGATCGTTTTTAGTGAGTTATAAAAAAAAAAAATCCATTTTAATACTGTTGAAAACCAGTTGCGGGGCACAACGTTATGAACACACATATTTTATAACTGAAGAATATTATATTCGACATCGTGTTCATTATAATATTCACGTCCATATTGTATACTATTTTGGAAATTCCTGGTACGTATACATCCATCGATTGCACAGTGAAGAGCGCCGGGGCGGTAAAAAAAAAAATGACAAGTTACGTTTTTTTCACTCCAAAAACATCAGAATCCAGTTACCACACCGACAATACGCGGGAACGTATGAAAACATAACCCTCTTATCTTTGGCTATGGTACCGAGAGATCGGACGACGAAGATTTTAATACACATAATGATGGCATGAGCTCAAAAATTTAACGTGAAAACAAGGGTATATTTAGACTTACTTCTAGAGGGGAGGGGAAGGGCGACTCAAATTTTTTCTTTAATTCAGGCTCAAAATTTACAAGTCAAATTTTGGTAATATTTAAATCTGGTGAATGATTAATATTTGCGGTTTTTTTTTTAATCTAATATTGGATCTACTTAGAATCGAATTTTGTGTAGTTTTTTTAACACCTGTCTGTGTTTGAAAGTTATGCTTGTGTTTTATTTGATTTTTCACTAAGTATGAACCCGACAAAAAGCCCAATTTAATATTTACAGCCACGCGTAGTATGATTTCATTTTAAAATGATCCACATTAAAAGAATTTGTAATGTGTATCTCACATACTCGTATAATTAATTCCTTAAATATGTATTCAGGAGGGGCGATCGCCCTCTTCGTTCCCCCTAAAATACGCCTCTGCGTAAAATTCGATTGAAAACGTCGTATATATAAGGATATATAGGATATATAGGATATATATAAGGAGTATATACAAGGATAAAAGTGTACAACACGAATACAGCTAGTACACTGTAATGTATTATAAACGATTACCGGGTTACCGTACAACCATACAACAAACAATATACGTCGACGAACTTACGTGATAAGAATTAGTATTCGTCCAGGTCTTCGAAACCATGTACACTTATCGGCACAAAGGTAATAGGTATGTTGGCGTATTCTACTTGAAAGTTGAAACCGGCTTTGATATGAATCGCTGTGCGCACGTACACATAAATGCCAGGTTGAGAAATTTCAAGGTAGAAAACGGTCTATAACAATAATAATAATTCATTTTTGTATATAGTACGTACAAAGTACTAATGAAATATCGCCATGGTGTGTGATAAAACACGCGGTTTATTATAATAATGAGTCAAAAAACACGTTATGTAGTAAACATATTTCGAGTATAAATTTTATTTTGAACAGAACAAGCCGTGGCCCAAAAGTACAATAGTATTATGGAATTATTTAACAGTAGGTAAGAAGAACTTAGGATATATATTATTAACAAAAATAGGCAAACGGATATTCATTAGCAGTGCACATCATCTCGATCATTGGCTTATTACAGGAATAGTTAGTGATTAACAGTATTTCGAAAAAAGGATAATGTTAACCTAAGTGGAAACTAGGGGTCTTGAAGTTAAGTTGGTACATAAGTTCAGGACAATCAATATAGGGACGGCGAGAGGAAGAGGCAATAGGGGCAGTTGCCTAGGGCCACGCACCTCAAATTATAAATAATTAATTCTGAAATAGTCTTTAACTGTGCTCAGATTTAACTGAACTTAAAATATTTTATTAATAGAAATTATAAGACCCAAGATTAGTTTTGCCCAGAGCCTCGCAAACTCTAGAGCCGTTACTCAATCAATAGAACGAACCAATATATTTATAAATATAACTAACCATCAATGAGTTTTTGTTTGAATAACAAATTGACTGATACACGCCTGTCAGTTAGGTTTAATAGTCCTAGTACTGTGTTAGTCAATAATATTGACCATATAAGTTAATGATAAAGCAGTATAACTTCAGAATATATTTTGAACCCTTTTAATGTGATTCCTACTAGTGGCCATATTAGGGTTCCAAATAACAACAAAATACTTTAGAATATATATTACTAAAGTATAATAAAATACTTTAAGAAAGGCCAACAATTTTTATTCAGCGGAAACTCTTATAATGAAATCAAATGTTTTCAGAGTCTTACAACAAGTTGTTTCAATATATCCAATAAAAATTAGTGCCCGATCTAGTATGATACCAAGATCGTTAACTACAATACCTGGATTAATGAGAAAAAAATTACACAAAGTGTAATTTAAACACGATTGATTTACGAATTTTTAATCATCAGTAGTACGCGACTGATTGATAATATACTTAAGTGGTACGCGAAAAAAAAAGTTTGAGAACCTCTGGAATATTATACTTATACAGAGGCCCTAGCGTTTTTCGTCGTGAATGAAAACACTGCTGCCTGACGATTTATACGTTTTTTTTCATTCTCGAACCAAGACCGGAAATACCACTGAAGACGACGACAACGATTCTACACTTTTGATGACCACGAGTTTGTTGGTGCAACGGTGTGACCATGATGATGTTTCAGGATCTAACGAGATGATTGATGACGGCGCTGTACAAAGTATACCTATACACAGTGACCATTTATTTTTCCTGCAATTATGTACGGTACTACACTGCATGAGATTTCGATTTCAAAAACACATAATTAATCGTCAGTTATGGTCATAGCGGTTATTGGCCCTTCATGATCCGAACCTCACATATAATTTATAAATATTAGAAAAAATTGGCAGTCTTACGGTCGAAAAATCGAGACGGATTCCCGTAACAATAGGCAAAAAACATAGAGAGGAATACTATGATCTTTATTCAATTTTAAGCATACCATTCTGATCTATCCGTGTAAGCGTATTTGACACCGTAAATATGCAATAACTAATTAGCTATATATTTATATACAAATAAGATATAACATATTTAACACATAATGTATAATTGGTACTTAACATGAGTTTGTAAAACGAAAATCATTTAAAATTTAAAAATTGGCAATTATTTTGACCAAACATTTGAGCATTTGAGGGAACTTTTCGGAAAAATTTTAAAAGGAACGTTTTTTAAATACCGTAAATGGTAGAGTAGAGCCCATTTTTAGCCCAAGTAACAATTATATAGTATTAGTTTGTCGCATGATAAATTAGGTGTTCGCTTTTAAATTAAGAACGTTAACCCGCAATATTTGTAACGGTTCGGATAAAATCGTTTAAAATTCCTAACCTTTATATGCATTTTGACTGCTGAATTTAAGCACACGTTAGTGAATAATCAAAAATTCATTTATGTGAACTGCAGGTCATAGTACTCACACTTTATGTACAATTGAAGTACATACAAATTATATACATAATATAAATAGACATATTCCGAATACTTCACAGCCCGAAGATGTTCTTAATATTATTTTGTCGGTAAAATGGAAAGTTCACTGCATAAAGATAACGAACATAATGAAAATAAAACAAAATGTTTGTAGGCATATAATGTATATTATTGAAACAATAGGTAAATATAGTAATGGTTAGCTATGAAAAAACCAGAATATTTCTGTCGAATTAATTAACTATTATATTATTACACTTTTGTCCCGTGGTCACTAATTCACTGTTATTTTTTTTCAGTCAGATATTATTCAAATAACGTAACCTAACTTAACCTGAAGAGGTACGCAATCGATACATAATCATTTTTGATCCTCCCCATAACGCTGATTATCTTTCGAAACGGACTGTGTGTGAAAATATAAATTTATTTTGCATCGCCAATGTTTCTGTAATACACAGCGTCGTACGCTGAATAGCGGTAAAAAAAGATCATCAACAAAAAGTACCTAAACGTCGCATTTTTCCTCACAGGTCATTCACCGCCCCAACTTTTTGCCGATGTTCGAATTGTTATCCATATGCAGGAGTCGGGTTCATACTGCGGGGGTGGACATTTTACAATGGTATCTCGATAAACAACGGTATACATCTTTATCATACTGCTGCAGCGATTTTTAAACGGCGAGTAATTGAAATTTCAAGGTGATTTGTCGCCGTCGAAACAATGAGAATCTTCCGTAACGGCGTTATCGATGTTTCGGTATTGGAGAATGTCGAAACACGAACAAGAGAAAGATTCGAACGCGGGTTGTATAAAGATTACGTAACCCGAGTCTGCGAACGAAAACGCATTCTGTTGCGGTAATTATTATTACTATTTACGAGTAATTATATGATGGCCGGTGGGACGGCGACAAGGAAAATAGTTCGCTTTGCGGTGTGCGCGTGTCATAAACGTTCGAAAGTATCAACAATACGTTAGTATCGATGTCCAGTTGACATATACTTCTTTTCACCGGTGAGTTAGGTATACTGGAAAAATGTGCACGTCGAATCTTAATCGGTCGTTCATAATTCGAATTATTCTGTATTGAAAAGCTTATAAGAATGGCGAGTTCTATGTTTTATAAGAATTCTATGATTATTATTAAAGACCAAATATATTTAATAATATTATTATTGTTTTGACTTTCAAGTTCTGTAACTGCAGCGAAAATAAACGTCAAATGTCTAAATTAAACAATAACTAATGAAACCGATTATTCGAATACATAGAATAGACTTATTATATTCTATTATAATCCTTATTTGTAACAATTGTACCTATATACTATATTATATTATAGTATTATATGAAACGTATAAATGTATACGTTTACATGTATAAAAATAAATTATATATAATGCCTAAGTAATTATTAAAATATATAATATATACATATTTTTAATTAGTATTAGGTTAACTAACTGACCTGACCCGTAGTTTTGCCTATGTATACTGTGGTAATAGTTTATACCATGGTTATAAATAGTATGTTATGATAGTCAGAATCGACGAAAGCTATGGCCAACCGGGGTGCTAAACTGAAAATTAGTTTTATTTAATTTATATTTCAATACGCATTAACAATCTACAATTTTATGAGTTAATAACTTTATTACAATATTATATAATCAGGTAATAAAGTTTAAAGTTATAATACAAAATACCTACTTAAATTTTATTTAAACTTACTTAAAAACTTAATTTTATCACTACTCAAACTAGGTAAGGAGAGGATTAAGGGCACCAAACATCTTAGATCATGTTATATCCTTATCTATAACCTAATCAGTTATACGGTATAAGATAGTGGGAGATAACATATTTTAGGAGTGTCGGCTAAAATATGGTTCGGACAAATTACGAGTCGGATCATTTATTTTTTCGACTAGAATACGGATCGGCTGATATGTTATCGCTCCCACCGTCTCAACTGTATACGATATGTGATTAAGGGTCGATTAATAACCGTCAAATGTTTACGTTATCCCTTACCGTTTCAAGAGACTCTTCAGAAGCTCTTCCACTGAATATACACGTACTCCGATTTCCGTATGTATTCCTCGAAATGCATTTATAAGCGTAAACATTATGTAGTAATATTACGCTAATTATCCACAAACTACGGGTGTACAACTCTGCAACACCGACATCATGATAATAGATAATTCAGGAGTTTATGTAACAGTAGGTATTGAAATTAAGATAAAAATAAACTATTATAATTTACACGTAGCATGTGACTAAGTTATTATTAAAATGAATGTGTCACTATATTTTTATTTATTCACTTAATTATGTTTTCACGGAATAATATTATCAACTTATAATAACCGTCCAGTAACCACTGGAAAACCACTGTGGTATCTAGCGCTTTCTCCGGACACATTACGTTCCGTGTATTAAGTAATGGAAGAGCCCATTCATTTTTTTTATTATCTATGGTACATAGTCTCGACGTAAAAAGCAGTGCGAACCAGGTTTAACCGTTCAATATATTTTTTATGAGCCTTTTGAGTGGATTTCATTTGGGCGAATGAATTTTAGATTCTTATCATTTAAGCGAATTTATATATATCAATAGGATGAAATATACAGAATATTGAAAACTTCCTCGTACTTACCCATTAAACGATCGGAGTGCGGTTTTGTGGCCAGTTACGTAACGAGCGCGGTTAACGGGCATAGTATGTAGTACATAGACCGCTGAATAATAACGATCTATGGTTTTCTACCAGATCTATTTATCGAGATCGATTAAAAGCGCGACAACGACGATAGGAATATTGTGTTGTTGCTA